GGCACGCTCCCACGGTGGCCCCCGGGGGAGGGGTCACTTGTAGTTAATAATGCAGCCACTTCCCCACCCCCCTCAGTAGAAACGGGGCTGGATGACTAATTCAGGAGGAGGGAGGGTGCAGGGCGGGGGTTGTGGTGCGCCATGAGGAGGCTTCCCTGCTCGCTACGCCTTCGATCTTGTCCCAGACCCCAGGGCTGCGCGTGAAGAGGGGTCCTGGTGCACCTGTCTCTCCGTGTGTCTCCACGTTGTGGGGACCTAGGGGATGTAGAGAAGGGAAAGGGGTCCAGGTGGAAGAAGGGTCGCGGGGCGAGCGTGTTCTTTGGGGAAATACTTCAAAGAGTTTGCGCTAAGTTTAGCTTCTCACTCAGTCCGCTTCCTGAAGCCAGTTTTCGCTTCTTGGGCTCCTGATGGGGAGACTGGATGCGGGTGTGTGTGAATGGTGGGCGATGAGGCAGAAGATCTAAAATTTTCCGAAATCAACGCCTCCGGCGCCGCAAGGCCAGCTAGGCTCCGGGTCCTGCCCGCCCCGAGCCACGACCTGACCCGGCGTCCGGAGCATTCGTCCAGAGTTGTCCTGACTTCCAGGCGTGTTCCCTATGGGAACCAGGGCGGCTCTGGCCAGATTGGTGAGGGCAGCAGCCTCTCTCCTGTCTACGATTTCATAATGGGAACCCCAGGGCCCTTTTTTCTGCCCCTGCAAAGCCAGGCCTGGTTAGGGCGAGGCTCCATGTGTCTAAAAGTTTGCGGGTCCATTGGAACCAAACGCCCTGATCGTCCCAAAGAAAAGGCGAGGCCTACTCCTTGCGGGCCGAGTTCTTTCACTTGTTTCACATTTGGGCCAATAAAAGTTCAGAGAAGTCCTGTCTTCACTACATTCATTGGAGTTTGGGGAAAGGAAGTCATCTCTCAATACTAATTTATTTCCATACACTTTTTTTTTTAAATCAACCGTGAGCTCTCATACCTCTCCCCACCAGGTAAATCTCACTAAATAAAATGTCATCCCCAAAGTTAGACTAACTTTGTGGTTTAGAGATGCAAATCTCACACCAAATACAAATCCTGGGGTAGCACACCTTTCTTTCCCTTGTGCCTGTGGGCCTCAGGGCTCTGCTTCACTCTCTTCTCTGGGGGGTGAAGATTAGGGAAGTTCTTTGGCAGAGGTGTTTAGGTTTCCTCCTCAAGCCGGAAGAACTTTGTTGCAGAATTCTGAATTCCTCGGTGGCGAGAAGGCGCTGGGAGTGAAGGCTGGGCCTGGGTCTAGGCCTCCAGTAGGCCCAGCCGAGGTCCGGAAGCAGTAAGCTTACAGCCTGAAGGGGAAAGGAGCGAGCCCAGAGCCTGGCTCCTGAGGGCTCGCTGTTTGGCAAGCGGTGGGAAGCCTGGATCTTGAGTGCCGCACTGAGGATTTGGGGTCCGGAGGAGTGGGATGCTCTGGGGTTGTCCTGTTGGGCTGCTGGGTCCTACCGGGTAGTGACAACGGGAGAAAATAGAGTCATTCTGGTCTCTCGCTGTCTCTTTGTTTCTCTCCGTATCTCTGTCTCTCACACAGATACTTGCTCTTAGTTTCTCCACGGCCCCAAATCTGGCCTGGACCCCCTAACCCTAGGCCTGGCGCTGCCGTCCTGGGGTGCCGGCTAGGCGGGACCATTGACATGCAAACAAGCGACTTGTGGTGGTAATGGCGCGCACTCTCAGGCCCCTCCGCCGGCTCCAGGGGTGACGGGGTGCTTGCCCCGGCCTTTCTTTGGTGCCCAGAACTCTGGCGGAGGCGCTGAGCCCGCAGGCCCCAATCTGCACCTCAAAGGCGCCCTCGGCGGGAATACAACAACAGTTTAGCAGCTCTGGCTGGTGCGGAGCCGGAGGTCGGCGGGGTGCGGAGCAGCGAGAGGGGCTGGTTGAAAAGATGAAGGGCCTCTGCCTTCCCCAGGCCGCAAACTGAAAGAAAGAAAGCGAAACAAGAGTTTCTCTAAACACGCGGTAGCGCAGTGTAGGGGTGGAAAATCCATGCTCCCAGGCCCGGGGTTTGGCCTACAGATCACGCTCTGCGTCTGCTGCCCCGACTGGGAAGGTGTCAGTCCTGCCAGCGGCCCATCTCCCCACTTAAAGTGAACCCCGGGGCAGCCCCAGAGGGCGAGTGTGCCCGCAGGAGAGCTGACCCTTTCCTGAGTAAGGTGCCTGGGGAGCCCCAAGCTGGGCTCAGCCCAGAGACTATGCTGGTCTTCTGAGGGGAAAGGAAGGGCAGGGGAGCGCCCAGAGGTGGGGAGGGAGTCGCTCCGGGTCTAAATCTCCCCTCTAGCTCTAGTCTTCTTTCTAACTTTCTGGGGGCCTCTGGCCTACTCTGCCTGGTTTGGGAAATTTGCTGCGTCCCCGGAGGGAGAATTGCCCTTCCGCAAGGCTTGTGGGGAGGGGTCCCCTCTCCTCCGCCCTCTTCCACCTGTTAGAGAAAGCTCCGATTTTCAACAGCCTCTACCCTGCTTTGAGGACACTGTGGAAATCCGGGAGGCTTAGGGGTTGTCAAGAAACAGGGCCAGAGGGAATCTGAGGTCGCTAGTCGAGCAGCTCTGAAGTGAGACGTACTGTTGTTGGGAAGTTTTCGATATTCAAGTGGGAGAAAGACAGAAACTTTTTTTGTGGAGGGCTATTAACAAGCTCAGCCAGAGAAACGGACTACTCTGTCTTTTGAGTATCAGTCTTTGTTTTTTCTTTCCTCTTTAAAAATTTTGCTAAAACTGAAGAAAAAATACAGCCCTGGGGTGAGCAGGCCCCTGTGTAGAGGGGGAAAGCCTAGACCGGCCAACCTGGCCGAGGGAATGGCTGGCCGGTCTTCGGTTCCGGGGCAGCCGGGCACTGCGCCCCAGCAAGCCCGCCCGCGTGGGCAACTTCACCAAATCATGAAGGAACTCTCCCTGCTTTAATTAAAAAGGGGAATCTTGGGAAAACTGGAGCAGATGAGCACAGCGAAGAGTAGGTTCCCAGCGACTTATTTTGATGCATGCAAGTGCACACATGTCAGTATTCCGGCTCAACTCCAGAAGCGACTGGAGCCTCCCTAGGAGTTCCGTGTCCTTGTCCACAGCCCGCCCAGGAAACCCTCAGTCCAAACACCACGTTGAGTTATCACCCGGCCCTGGCTTCATACAAACGGGAGGAAAATCATTTAACTCCTGGAGCTGTCAAGTAACCTCTTCAGGGTACAATTTTTATTTTACACGCGGCAATTAAAGAATCGCAAACCCCAGCCGAGCGACGGAGGCCGTTTGGCAAAACCTCCAACCTGGGGGTGAAGCACAAAGCCAATAAAACTCCCAACGCTCTGCGGCCGAGGTGGTGGCTGCCCCGGCGGAGGCGATCTTTTCTTGGGCAAAAATCCTGGCGTGACTTCGCTGATCTTGGTGTGGTGGTTCTGTTTAATTGCGAAAAGGGTAATTTCTAATAAAATGGGAGGGGGCCGGAAGGACAGCGCCGTTATTAGCAGCAGAGGTGGGGGAGCGGCGCTGAGAGCCTGGCCCCTGCGCCGGGCTGCTCCCTCTAGGAGGGGACGGAGTGGGGGACTGGGGAGGCCTGGGGGTGGGGGGACGGGCAGGGGCGCGAGGCGGGGCTCGGGAGCTCTCCAGGGCTCACTGGCGGGGCGTGCGCTCCGGGAGCAAGTTGGCGGCTCCGAGAGGCCTTTATACCTGGTTCGGAGGCAGATAGTCGAGCTGGCGAGCAATTGGATTATTGTTGATATGCTAATGAGGCGATTAGGCTGTGGGTAAAGAGCTGGAAAAAGGAAAAGTTTCTACCATTAGAGGGAGATCTCCGAGCGCACACGGGAGCTCTTTCCCTTCTCGCCTCCTCCTCCTCACCCTCCTCCTCCTCGACCTCCTCCTCCCCCTTTCTGCCCTCCTCCTCCTCTTCTCCCTCCTCCTCCTCCTCCGCTCACCGTCACAGCCGGCACTTTGCGCTTACCCCGCGAGTAGCTGCACTTGGGTGCGAGGCAGAGAGGGGGCCAATCAGTTCACGCCGATCCATGAAAATGCTTTGGAAACTGACGGATAATATCAAGTACGAGGACTGCGAGGTAAGCGCGGCGCCGGCTCAGTTATCCTCGCGGCCTCAGGATCCCAGCTCTTCCCTCCGCACCTCCTCTCCTCGCAGCCCGCGGAGAAGTGCGGGTGGACAAACTTCGCCCCGCGCCGCGCCCGCCTCTCCGATTCGCCCAAGGATGCCGGGGAGAGGTCGGACAGCGAGCCAGCGGGCGCTCCCCTTCTCATGTCGCCCCTTCGAAGCCTGTGCCCCACTTTCCCCCCTTTTCTTAGCAACATTGCCTGTGCCCGAGACGAGGGAGAGGAGAGACCAGCATGGGTTTTGGAAGTAATTGCTGGCCATAGGGCACGCGCCCGTGCACTCCGCGTGCCTCTCTATAGTGAGGTTCTGGGAGCCCAAGTCACCAGGAAGAGAAAGGAAAGAGAAAATCCTTTACCTTCTTTAACTTCCTCTCTGGTCCTTAATGTTTGTTTGCTTGTTTATTTACTGGCTTATTTATTCCTCCCCAACCTTTTTTTTTTTTTTAAAAAAGGCTCATTTCTCTGTGGAGAGGGGGCCGCGCACTTCGCTGTAAGCTGGGCTGCATCTCCCTTTCAGCGGGTTCAGGGTGAGATCACTCCTCTCCCCAACCGCCGCGGGCCCGCTCCAGGTGCTCTAGCTGCTCAGGAAGTTCCGCGCCGCTTCTCTCTCTGAGCACTGGGTTGGCGCCTCCACGGGGTGGGGGTGGGGGGCGGCGCGGCTCGGAGTTTCCCGGCTCCCG